TATCCGAAAAACATGTATACACACTTTAACAGCTGATAGCTAAATTGACGTTTCGTTCTTTTCAGCCAGACTAAGCTTCGAACAAAGGAAATTCGTCCTAAAATGCTACTGGGAGTTTGAAAACACAGTTGAAGTACAAACACTGCCTTTATAATCATTCAAAGTGTGTGTACATTTTTTGGGACACCCTATATTTGCCAATGATACATCTTATAAGTGCTTAATTTCCAAAATACGTAAAGAACTTATACAAGTCAACAAAAGGAAGACAAACAATCCGATTAAAAAATGGGCAAATGACCTAAATAAACACTTCTCCAAAGAGGACATACAGATGGCCAAGAGACATGAAAAAAAGCTCAACACCACTAATCAGAAAGATGCAAATTAAAACCACAATGAGATATCACCTCGTGCCTGTCTGAATGGCTGCCATCCACAAATCAACAAACCGCAAGTGCTGGCAAGGATGTGGAGAAAAAGAGAATCCTTGTGCACTATGTGGGAATGCAGACTGGTGCAGCCACTGTGAAAACAGTACAGAGTTTCCTCAAAAAATTAAAAATGGAACTGCCTTTTGACCCAGTGATCCCACTTCTAGGAATGTATCCTAAGAATCCCAATACAGTAATTTGAAAGAATCTATGCACCCCTATGTTCGTTGCAGTGTTGTTTACAATAGTCAAGATCTGGAAACAGCCCAAGTGACTATCAGTAGATGAGTGAATAAAAAAGCTGTGGGACATTTACACAATGAAAGACAACACGCTGTAAAAAATAAGGAAATCTTACCTTTTGTGACAGCATAGATGGACCTGGAGATTTTTATGCTAAGTGAAATAAGCCAGTCAGAGAAAGAGAAATACCATATGATCTCACTTATATGTGGAATCTAATGAACAAAATAAAGTAACAAAATAGAAACAGAGAAACGGATACATGGAACAAACTGACAGCTGTCGGAGGGGAGAGGGGAGAGGGGGACTGGACGAAAGAACGTGAAGGGATTAGCCAAAGAACAAATATACATGATACACAGACACAGACAACAGTGTGGTGACGGCCAGAGGGAAGGGCAGGGGGGATGGGTGGAGGTGAGCAAAGGTGGGGGAAGGAATAGGGACATTTGTAATAGTGTCAACAATAAAAATAAAGTTAAAAAAGCAGTGTGGTACCGGCATAAGGATATATATACATACACACACACACACACACGCATATATATTCAACCAACCAAATAGAACTGAGAGTCCAGAACTAAACCTATATATCTATGGCCAATTCATTTTCCACAAAGGTATCAAGACCATTTGATAAGGAAAGAATATAGCCTTTTCAACAAATGGTGCTGGGACAACTGAAATATCTACATGCAAAAGAATGAATTTGGACCCGTATCTTACACCATATACAAAAAGTAACTCAAAATTGATCAAAGACCTAAATGTAAGAAAAAAAACCTCTGAAAACGAAATAAGTGAAAATCGGCATAACCAATGTGGTGTGTTTAAAAAAAAAAAAAAAAAAAAA